GCGGAGTGAAGTAAGGGCCAATCCCGATTTTGATGTGTTCGTATCGAACGAATCTTGAAGATCGACATAAATATGTTGGCACCTACTACCAACTACTTCCACCAACTACCAACTATTACCAGTACCAGCACCTTGACTGGCTGTCCTGTAAGCTTCTGCTTACGGACGGTACTCAGTGGTTGATGATGAGGCGTTATCAGATTCACAAGGATGGGGGACAGCAGCCATATAAATGCGGACCTTCGATTCGAAGGTCGAGCCTCCTGTCAGTACTCCTCACGGCCCGCTCCTGTCATACAGTACTGCGATATACAACCTCAAGTCGTGGTCAAGTTCAGACTGTGAAGGTGGCCTCGCCATCGGATCTCCAAGACAATTGAAAAGTCGGACATGATTCTGAAAATCCTCTCTTTTACGAGTCTTTGAGTTTCTCCTCCTGAGCTTTGACACGTTCCATTGGAAGATTTTTTCCCACCGCTCCTGTATCAGATTCTGTCTGAATATCATGAAATAGCTCGGGACCCGGGTTGCCACATTAAACAAGGACGACTGATGCTCAGTGGATGGAAGGAAGGATGTCCTCCTTCTGGTACAGCGTCAACATCGACTCATGTGCCTGCAGTATTGATATTGTTTCGATGAGAGAAATTCCACCTGTAGTTTGAGATGACTAATTCCAAACCAGAGGCCCTCGCCGACCGTAAGTGAAGGAGCGGGTGGGTTCATGTCGCTGGAGGCGATGCTGAATGGGACGGAGCACGTCCACCACATCGAAACTCACGACCCCACCGTATTGTCAACGATCGCCTTAAGCTACTCGTAGTGGAATCTCCTCAGCAGACTAATTATTCTTTCCTTGAGGGAGTAATATTTTTTTCCAGCGCAAAGGTGGTAGAACTTAAATATCACCATCGTCAAATTGAAGATACAACGTTTGTTCGAAGGGTTTTCTCTCAAACTCGTCAATCTAGTGAGCACCTGTGATGCAGAGTTCTTCATATGGACGTAGTCTGTTGAGGCTCTGCGGCGTGAAGTTCTAAAACCAGTTGTATCAACTCACACGTTTTTGTTCCCAACAATCGACGCTCAACCGTGGTTGTGGAATTTTGCACGCTCCGAAAACTTCATGAGATCCGAATGGAGAACCATCTTTGAAAGACGACTAGAGAATAATTGCTTTCATGTACAGAACCTTTCAAGCGGCTTGACAGGTCCAAGAGACTGAAAGGCCAAAACCTTTGAAAAAAATTTGACTGATCCACGTCGTGCAAATGAAACACGAAATCGATTTCTTTTTCGCCTCGATCCGGCAGAGCAAGAATTGTGGAGTCTGTACCACATGCCGTCTAGACGCATACATGTTCGTCCTCGAAATATCTCCGATTCAGATTCGAGCTTCCCAAGACGATTGAACGAGGAACCTTAAAGAATACTTGAACTCATGAATGCCACCGTTTGTGAGGCTCATGTAACAGATTACCAATGGCCCTTAAAACCTGTGCTGCTAACTCTTCAGCGTTTACTTCCAGTTGTTTATATAGAGCTTTTCAAATCGTGGTTCGTTCTTCTCGCGAACGCGCCATCAATGCACGTCTGTATTTCCAGTACATGAACGGCTTCAGCGCTCAAGCGTCATGGGCTTACAAAGGTACATACATTCAGGTTGACCCCTCTTTGTTACAGTTCAGCTTTAGCTTTTACATTTCATATCCTTCTCGAGTATGAACAGATGTTTCCGTGTGAATTGTTGCAGACATGTGCTGCCTTTTCTAACAAATTTCTTGAGAGTATATATATATATATATTACAAATTCAAACAGGCCAATCTACCAGGCAAAGAACCGGTTCAGTAGATGCATGAGGAAATCAAGTATAATCCCTCAACTCTGCTGGCACCACCCGTCTGATGTCACAAGCTTGTACCTTTCCCCCTAAATCGACAGCAGAACATTCCAGTAACATAGAATGAAGTTAAGCAGATCGGCAACTACGGGCCTTTCGATGATAGAATTTGGAGCTCGATGCATTGCTGTAGGTAAGGAGTGTTCTGATGAATGAGAATCTGAGAATCGAACGCATTCCACCAGTTTCGTGTCCACAAAATTTTTGATGTGGTCAACTTCTTGACTAGCTCCGACTACAGATATGGTTTGATTGTCCAGCTCCCTGATGTATGTGAAGCAATTTGAGAGCTGTTGACAACCTATACCGACAGCCTTATCGTGAAAATTTCCATCCGTCTTAAACTTCTTAATCCGCTGGGAGCATGAAGATCAGATCTTTGACAGTCTAGATCGATAGATTGCCTCGTAAGTATGATATTTGGTGTTATCCACAACATTTGCTGTAAAGTCAAATCTGATCTATGATGTACATTTGCTGCAGAGAGTTATATGTAATTTATCTGCATATATAGATAAACATCTCGAGTCCACATAGTATTAGTTATGGCTCAAGCATACGAGAAACCCTTGTGTGTTTGATAATGCAAACTGCTCGTATAGCTACTCGATCGACACAAATCCGCACCTCAAGAAAGCAAGATCTGTGTATACATATCGACTGCACATGCGAATCAGACGATCGAATGATCCCAGGAGACAACTTCAATGTAAAAAATCTTAACGGGTGACGCTTAAATGAGTCCTTCCCATAAGATATCATCTACAAGCGAAGGAAAAGGTATTCTCCCGGGAAAGGGCTCTAGCGCCCGAGTATAATGTTAGTGAATGAGTTTCCAGACATGTGTGGAACAAACTATAACAAATTCATTATGCGATCTGCATTATTGTGCCACGAAGCTAATGAGAAGATGTTTTGATATTACGTTTTACTCCTTATGTTTGCTAATTATCCTTCAACCTAGGTTAATGTGCACTACTTCTATTCTTTCTCTGAGAATACTATAACTCTGACCAATCACAAAACTCTATTCAGTACACTGACCAATCACAGAACTGCGTTCAATAGGGTGAGAGCCCAAAGTGAGATATAACCCCCCTAGCCCTTCCCTTGTACTTTCATGAGGACATGCTTTATATATAAACACCGTGCCAGTCTTTCTATTTCGTCATCTCTCGCCATCCCTAAAGCGAAACTTCCAAAAAATTACTTTAACGCATCTTGGCAATTGCTAATTGAATTTAGCGTGCGTAGAGCATTGTAAAAACTGGGAGAGAGCTGAAGTCAACAGATTTGACACTGGGTTTGTGACTGGAGAAGTGTTGTCATAAAATCTGCTTCCCGTAGAGAGAGGTTAAGTCAACAAATTTGACCCTGGATAGCTAACTCGAGGGTTGTAAAAATTTCTACCTCACATAGAGATAGCTCAAGTCAACAAAGCTGATTCTGGATTATTGACAGTTTTAGAGTAGACGGGCTTGTTTTTTTGCCAATGCCGAGATACAACCTTCCAATGCTAGATGAGGACCCATCAAAAACTAGAGGTGAAAACAAATCCAAATATTCAATTCTTCTTATAACGTGAGACAACACTCTGGGAGTTCGTAAAATTTCTTCCATATTATATTGATCGTCAAACTAAAAGCATCTCCATGTATTTGGAATCATCTACATGTTGGAACTACAACGTCCTGTTCCATATTTTAGTCGAATGAAAGTTTGGAAGTACGTTAAAATGTGCTGGAAGTGGTTCAACGAATTTTGATTTTCATAGATTAAAAAACAAACCAGACATTGGGTTATTTTTCTATTCAATAACGCAACCAAAACTTTGATACTTTTGAACGCAATAATGTTGGTATCATATTCTTTCTCCCAAATTGTGAAAAGCTGGAAATAATTGTAACCTTGAAGAGTTTCAACTATCTCAAGTATATTTTTGACTTCTATGGATGAGGAGTACGAAACTTCAAAATGTAAGGTCAAAGATTATGACTCGCTGGAATTGCATATACAAATCCAAATCATTTGCTCAATGGTGCGAGTTATATCAAAGAAGCTTGTCAATACTTGTCACCAAGCTCGATCCAAAATACATTTGTGAATGAGTAAATAACGACATTCGATACTATCATAAAACTATGATGGAGATGGAAGATTTAATGATCAAAATTTCACAAGTCATTGTAACTTTAAATCTTTCTGTTAGGCAAGAAGAGCTTGAAAATTTAACTTATGTTTAAAACAGTGAAATATTTGATATGCTGAAGAAAATGAAGATTGTTGAAAATAATGTGAATGATGATGACATTCTTAGCTTCAAAATTTAGATTTGGATTTCACTACAAAGACTTTTTTTAAAAGTTGTATTCAAGGCATTGAATCATTTTATAAATAAGCTTTTGACATCATAGTATCATCGCTACTTATACTCAATAAGAACCTAAGGATAAATTTGATTATCTTAGAAAGTTGTTTGTATGTTTCAAAATAAATTTCGTATTATCATTTTGAAAATCAAATACAATAATCTTCAAAATTTGTGCTAAATAAAATCTCATGACATTTTGAACTAAATAAATACAAATTTTATTGTTTTGGAAAAATAATAACTTAACTGGGCAATGTGTTAGTACAATGTAATATATTAAGATTTTATCAAGCAAAGATTATTTAAATATCATTTTTTTCTAAAAAATATCCATATAATAATTTTAATTAAAAATTATAATAATATAATTCAATTAAAAAAATTTATCACAAAATTAATCGATAGAATAAATTTTGAATATTGTATAATACATTGTTATTATTTTAATATTATATAATATCATGAAATTGAATGGATTCATATAATATTATGATAATACCAGTTTATCTACTTTTCATAATAGCAGACTACTTTGTGGAAAAAGGATAAGATTTTAAGAAAAGGTTGAGTGTACTTGTTATGTCGCAACCACAAATCAGAAGCTGTATTCAAACTACAAATAAGGTTTACACTCTTGCACTGACCACGAGGCAAGCGCAAGACTTTCCTGCTCCTTGTACAAATGGGCCATCCATGTGACAACAAGGCGAACGCACACTTGTCTCGAAAAGCCCGAAGAACGTCAGACGTGGCATACACATCATCGGAGCGTGGAGCGTAGAGGAACTCGGCCGACGAGGCCCTCGATAAGCAAGAACACCGTTGCTCATCGATCGAGCCCCACTCGGCGCAAGCGCTCGTTTCTCCCCGAGCAAGAGCAGATCCGTCGAGGGGCAGCAATGGAGCGCGATACGATCCGAGCTCTGGTGGTGAGGTCGCTGGGGGATCCGAAGACGCCGCTGTCGGACAAGAATTGCCCTGTTTCTGAGATGCAGTGGCCGCGGCCGGCTCTGACCTCGCCGACGTCGGTGCGAGTGAAAGTGAAGGTCACGAGTGTCAATTTCTCCACTGTGCTCCAAATTCAGGGCCTCTATCAGGAGAAACCCAAGCTTCCTTATGTTCCTGGGGGCGATTTTTCCGGAGTGGTCACGGAGGCTGGGGCGAAGGTGACGCACGTGAAAGTAGGCGACCGAGTGTGTGGATTCGTCAACTATGGCAGCTTCGCCGAGGAATTCGTCGCGGATGAGTCTGAAATGTATGCGCTTTTTGCTCCTCGTGTCAATTTTGATCACTCAAGTCTGGACAGCAGACCAATTGTTCTACCACTCTGCGTCATGTTCTGTTTTCCGAGAATGAGAACCAAGAAGCTAGGGAAGTTCCGGAAAGATGCAATTATTGGACAAGTATCGATTCCTCGTAAGGGCCGCTACGAATAAACATTCTTGGTCTTATGCGTGCTCATTGATTTTTACATACTGAAGTGGAGCCTGAGCGATCAAATTTCGGGTTGTGTTCAGAATTGTTGTCTTGAAGAAATGAGATGAAAACGCAGGACGCTGTGTAATCAGTTTGGAATGCTTCGTCGATCGACGAATCTACGCATTTTCCGCTGTTTGCAGGTTCCTTATACCGAGCGGATGCGACTTGGTAGCTGCTGGAGCTCTTCCGGTGGCATTTGGCACGTCTCATATTGCGCTTGATCACCGTGCCAATCTTCGTCCCGAGCAGGTTAGTCTCTGTCCAGAGTTACGCAACCGTTTTAGTGTTAATTCAAGACGACATTTTCAGGCTCTGAATGCTCACGCTTTAAACTCGAACCTGCCAGCTTTAGTGCCAGTATCCGTCCACAATCCACTGATAAGAGCGTCAGTCATCGAGCTGACTGTAGGTGCTCCATACTCTCTTCCACTGAGTACTCATTGCGTTGACATGAACTACTCACCTGACACTACTGGACTCATCTACTGGTACCAATGAAGGCCAGAATTTAATGACGAAGGGAACATTTCCTACCAGGTCTTGCTGGTGTTAGGTGCTGGAGGTGGTGTCGGCTTAGCTGCTGTGGAACTTGGTAAATTGATGGGAGCCATCGTCATAGCCGTGGCAAGGTATGTTTATTTATTATTTTATTATTTTTGTAATCTTTGTGTGGCAAGTTCGACTTGTCTTTCATCATAGCTTACAGAGGTCCTACCACTAATGCTATGTACGAATGCTAGGACCCACGGTTCTGTCATCGAATATGACTTGCATATTTGTAATTTAGCTTTGGCATATCCTTCTTGGACCCTTGAAGTGACAAGCTTTTGACCGTCGTGATTATACCGTCTCAGGTCAAGACACAGCGCCTAGTATGTCAAACTGTTACCTTGGATGCTCTGACCAACTTTTGTGATCTGGTGGCCTCTGTTCGTATGCAAAAGGGGCAAGGAGAAGGTCGACCTTCTGAGGTCCACTGGAGCAGATTTCGTTCTGGATTCATCTGAAGATGGGATCATAAAGCCAGTGCAGGCATTTCTCAAATCAAAAAAACTCAGAGGAGTTGACGTTCTGTATGACCCAGTCGGTGGGAAGCAGCATAAAGAGGCATTAAAGCTGGTGAAATGGGGAGGGCAGATCCTTGTAATCGGGTTCGCAAGTGGAGAAATCCCCAGCATTCCAGCTAACATAGCACTCGTGAAGGTAAGATATATGCCTCCCTTTGCCATCTCAAAACTGTATCCCTAAGCATCATAATTCAAATAGGAAGAGGAATGCTCGCTGTACAGGAGTTACCTGTATCTTTCTTGATCTTCAGTACTGTATCCCGGTGCACAGATAAGTTGAATTTTATCCTGATCCGCCACGCCCACATCTATACACCAATTGAGATTTCTGATTTCTAGAAACAAACAGAAGTCTCTGTTCATAGTTCTTTATTACACGGGAAGGGGGTCGGGAGTGTCGGCCCTGTGCATTTACTTATGTTACAAGTGGCATAGATATTAGACATATTCAGCTGACTTTACTCAAAGTTCTAGTCACGGGAGATTTGAGAGTTACACACAAAAGGGCTGGGTGAAAAAAAACTAATGAGATAGGAGATTATTGAGCAGATAACTGTTGTCAGATACTAGTTCAGTATCGAGAGTATGTGATATATTATTCTGTTTTAAGATTCCAGTTCTTAACCAAATTTGATGGTCCTTACTGACGCAATGAGTTTGAGATGCTTTGACAGAATTGGACAGTGCACGGGCTCTATTGGGGAAGTTACGTTATCCATCAACCTCATATTCTTCGCGATTCCATGAAGCAGTTGCTGAGATGGGCGGCAGAGGGCAAGCTCGACGTGCACATCTCTCATCAGTTCCCTCTTTCTCAGGTTGGTGGAGTAAACAAGTCGTGTTTAGTCGTTGTGTTCTCTGCATATCAATATCTTTCAATGCACACAAGCCATATGGGAGGCTACGAGGACGTGAGTTCTAACATAAAAATGGAGATAATTTCACAACACTGACAGTTTCTGGTTTTTTTTTCAGGCCAATTTGGCTTTCGCAACTGTTATGGATAGAAAAGCCATTGGAAAAGTGATATTCACTTTGGAGGACAAACCATCCCGACTTTGAGGATCAAAATGCTGATTATAAATTCCACCTCGAATTGAGGTCCAAATAGAAACTGTGCACCTCTAATCAGAGCGCCTTACGCGGAACATTTTTCTGGGTTGCTTTAGCCTCAGTGGCAAACATGAGCAGATGTGTTGAAGATTCAAAACGAGCTCCGAATACACATTTCGAGTCAAAGTACAACGGTGTCACGGATAGCCATGCAATACTTCTGTTAGCTAGTGTACAACATCAAGTGCGCAATGCTTTTGACTCACCTGAAACCAAATATGTCCGCTCCTCTTGCGGATGAATTTCAAGCAACATATGTATATATACAAAGCTTTATTCAGAATTAGAGCATGTTTCAGTAGACAAGCTTTCTGTATGGTAAGGATAACGTCAGAGAATCAATTTTGCATTCTCCTAATTCATGTACATGTTTACATTCTGACTACTTCCGTTGTGTGCCGGAAGAATACGACGAGGTCTGAACCTGCAAGTATAAAGATAAACCCTGAATAAAGTTTCCTGTAATAGTCTTTGTAAATACAAAAACAACCTTGTAAGGAGCTGCTCGAACTAGACAGATATGGAGCTTTATTCGCAAGATATTGCATATTGCTTTCAACACTGGAAAAGTTCATCGACGTACCTGATAAGTTCGCGTCCCTTTTTTGAGAAGATATCCTGCTTGATTCAAGTTGTCAATAAAAGTGTTGAGGTCTGGTACTCTGAGTTCGATTTCATCAGCAAGACTGTATAGTTCCTGTGACACGACATGGAAACCGTCATATATGTGTATACATGCGGAAGTAGACACTTCATTAGATGGCAACCGAAATAACCTTAAGGCAGTTGTAAAACTCCTACAGCAATTGTGAAGACAGCATTTTGTTGAAGATCGGCCCTCTGTTGCAAAGCGCTCAAAAAACGTTTTGCTTCTTTTTGCTTGCTCATGCCACCACTGCGACCGAAGTCTAAAGCACCGTGTTCATCTGTGAATTTGTCGAATAGAGATTCTTTCATTATCTCCACAACATCCTGCGGATGAAAAACATGCAAATGATGAAATTCGAAGGTTTCGTACCCGAAAAGGCTTCATGAGAGTCCGACAGTTGAGGCATAAGCTAGTTCAGAACTCCCCATGACGTGCCTGCCGAATATTGTGAAACAACACTTGATTGGAATCTTACAGCAACATATATCAAACCAGTTTAGATCTTGAAGTGGTTTCTGTTCTACCTTAGTCACTAAAATAAAACTAAGACTTTAAAGAAGTGGAGAATACATACCAGTGCGTCCTGCTCTGTAATTTCTTCTCTAAGATCGACTTTAGCTCGTGCAGTCGCTAATCGCACAAGACTTTCCAGTTGTCGTGCCGTAATGGGGGTACCATCCGTCTCATGACTGTTCTTTCGTAACTGAAGATAGAACTCTTTTAGAACTTTGGCTGCTGCACCAGACATTCTACAAAAGCACAAATGCTTAGAATCATCAAGACAAACGTGTGAAGAATTCCAGACTACTTATTGCTCTACCGTACCCCACCGAAACCATGGCATAGAAGAAGACCGAAAGAAGACCTTAAAGAGAAAGAAAGAATGCCTGAAATAGAGCTAGATCCCTTTGAAAATACCTTGGAGACACATAGTTCTTAGCATAGGCGATATATTTACGAAGAAGGGGAGCTGGTAAAGGTGCAAAGTCTCTATCTGTGATTGGGTCGAGCTTTAGTCTGGACTTGAGGGAAACATCATTTCCTCGCAAACCCTGGACAGACCCAATTACTCGAACTGCAACAGCGAAAAAATCGTGAGAAGTGAAATCGAAAGTATCAGGGTTTAGGGTGAGAAGGGAAATCGAGGAGAGAGGACATCGTGTACACTTGTGCCCTGTCCAGTACATGGGAAAGGAAGACAAAGGTAGAAAACATACAAGCTTGTTTGGCTGCATGTTGTCGTTTGGCTGAGCCTGCGTGAAGCTGTTCAAACAAATGAGTTGACATATTGAGGGTAACTTTGAATTCAAAATTTAGAAGATGAAAAAAGAAAACAGGAACATCACCATCATAAAATATTTAATGGGAGATATCTTACGGCCAGAATATGTTCAGAGAGTCGTTGATCCATGGTCTCATCGGGTTTATCCAACAAGATAAAAACAAGATCAAAACGTGATAGAAGAGGAGCGCTCATCTTGAGATTCTCGTTGACTGTTTTGGCTCGGCTGAGACACAACCAACAACCGTGAACCAATCAGTCAACAGAATACTAAGCTGGAGAAACTTAACCTGCACTCGGGCCTGAACCAAGAGCGCACGTTCCCACATTAAATGCTTTGAGCTTGATAGATAAAACGATTGCCAATCAATCAAAAAATATATAAAATCAAGCACCTAGTTCTGTTTAAGAGAAGAATGCACCCACTTGTATCGACCCCCCACCGGGTTCGCAGCTGCCAAGACAGAAGTGCGAGCGGCTAAACTCGCAACTAACCCAGCTTTGGCAACCGATACACATTGCTGCTCCATAGACTCCAGAAGTGCCTACACTGCCCACAACATGAAACGCTTAATATAGAGACTTCGTGCAACAAAATTGATTCAGTTGCTTCTATTGAAAAGGTTCCAGAACAAAACGTGGTTTTCTCTCAATCTCGTCCTGCTTGAGGTCAAGTCCTCGTTTTACCTGATGGTCAGCAGACAGTTTGTCAAACTCGTCAACGCAGCACATGCCTCGATCAGCGAGGACCATCGCTCCTGCAGAGACATTTCGTTACCCAGACATCACGTTCGTCATAGGGAGAATTTAACATCCAAAGTAATACAAGTAAAGAATCGAAGGTTTGAAAGATGTACCTGCTTCAAAGACATAGTCCCCCGTCAGAGCATCTTTGACAACTGCAACTGTGAGACCTGCTGTGGTGGTGGTGTTCCCGCAGACATAGATTCCACGAGCAGCCACCGCTGCAGCAGCTTTGAGAAGCTGACTCTTACCCAGTCCTGGATCTCCTGCTCGTAGTATACAAATCAACAAGCAGGTTGACCCGTTTTATTATATATAGGAGTTGTAAGTGTGTTTTAATAGATGCTTCTGGGTTGAGACGATTTACACTGCAAAGTTCGACAAAGAGTGATATAGAGAAGCAATAGCAGAGTCAAGGGAAAGAAAATACCTACAACCAACACGTGGATGTCTCCTCTAACAGGGACCTTGTTTTCATCTTGCAGATGTCTCTGAACTCCTCCGAAGAGTGCCAAAGTTATCCCCGCTGGTCCAATAAAGAGGTATAAGAAATAGTGTGAGGCCGAAAACTTTCTTACAACCAAGATGACGATAGGGTTAAATGTTCAACTGTATGTTTCTTGAAATGTCAAGCTTAACGAGTCTCGGATGTTCATACCTTTAACGAGCTCATGCCCGTAGATGGATGGACAAACTGAGTGCAGAATCGTTTTAAAGAGATCTTTTCCGGTCTCCTCTGCGAACTTTGCCACAAACTCCAAATCGAGAGGGGAGAATGATAAAGCATTTGGAGGAGCCGAACAACTAGAGTCGGTTTTATCTCCGCCGTCATCGTTGCTTATCTTCGAATTTACTATTGATACAGCCTCAATACACAAGTAAAAGAGCCCATCGCCCTTCCCCTTAGCCTTTCCTATGCAGGACAGGACATAGAGTTTAAGTATCAGGCAGATATCCAGAAGGGCTCCAGTTCAGATAGTTCTTTATACACCCTAGATCAGAGGTTCTGCAGTGAAATTGTGACAGCGCGTCACAATGATCGATCATCTCATACCATATGCAGTACTTACTTTAACCCAAGATTCCCATGAGGTATATAATACAGAAGCACGGATAGAAAAATTTCTGGAGAGCAAACACCCCAGGCTCAAGGGAAATTGCAAGCAGTAAGGAAGGCATCGTGAAACTACCAGCGTCAGCATCGGTGTTGAAAGTTTTCACAATACCGCAGACCGTGACAACATCAGCCGGAACGCAAGCATCCACCAGATCTTCAGTTAGTTCACACTCTACAGTTCTGGGTATCCTCCCCTCTTCATGGCCGGTGGAATGCAAAATCTCCTGTAATCTGTGGAAGGACCACGTAAGTACATTAATTTGCGTGTTTGCAGTCATTACGGATGCCTCCGTGGTGACTCCCAACATTTCCCTTCGGTGGATTGAAGGTTCCAGCACCTAACCCAGACGACATCGCAGTTACGATAAATCCGGGACGCTCATTCGCAAGAAAAGATCACGAAAGAGCGATGAGCTTCAGACAAGTAGACTATTAGAATTGGCCTGCAGTAACTTTGAGAAAAAAGACTCGTCGTTACCCGAGGATTCTTGCCTGATCTTTTGGAAGTCTACAGTCCTTGCACTTTCACGCTCGGGGTTGAAGTTCCTGCTTTTACACCCTCCGGTGGAACAAGATGTTGGGGGCGAGAACTTGCCATCAGTGAAGCGTCTGGGAGTAACATTCCGACATTTCATACACGTGAAGTCCATGTGTGTCACCATTGGCTTCACAACACTCATTCTCACCACTGTCCCTCGAACAGATATGAACTTGCCTGTTTGAACAATCAAGTGTTAAGTGATCTTACGGGATATCCTCGTCTTGGCCTAATGCATCATATTCCTTGTGCCCGAAGAAGCTGTCTGTCATTCAGGAATTGGAAGTAGCCAGCAATTTATCCAACAAACTTTATCCACAGTTTAGGCATAAACGATGCTAGATGATGACGAACGTACCTATAGAAGCTGCTTTCAAATTTTTTAGCGCGAGCATGGATTCTGGATAGTTGAAGAGGCGGACATTTATCCTCCCAGGATAAGAGATACTATTCTCAAAGCAAAATAACACCTGTTTCATGATGATAAACCATTGATCACTTACGCCAGCAGATTTAGAAACAGGAACATGTCTCTTCCACTAAACACCTCATGAATTAGCTGAAATTTATCGATTTGAGCTGAAGTGCAAAGATTGTGGGCACCTTTTAGCTATCAGATGCAACCCAAGCATAAATTGGGCGTGAGAATTATCATTTGTTGTACAGATATTCAATCAAATTTGTTCAACAAATCCCTATCTCAGGTAATTCCATTCATAGAACACTCAGCTCAGCAAATAAAGGCGTCGAACAGAAAACAGTCGATCAGTGAGCCAAAAGTTCACGCCACCTCATACGCAGCGGCACCAAGACACGAAAGCGCCTCTCGCGGAAGAACATCCATGGCATCAAAAAAGGTCTGTACGGGACACGTCGACTTCAGATGCTCCATGTCTGCAGCCAGAGTGTACAAGGAGCCTCCTCGATGGACCTGCAGAATCAAAATGAGTTAGGCAGCAAATTTCGCCTTCAGCATCCCTGCAATAATTGACACCGAGACTGTTGCTCATCGCCTGTTGTACAATTGAATTTGCTTACAGTGACCGATAACAGTCGCAAGGTCGAGCAATTCAGGGAGATCTCAAGCATGGGTACCTCAACTTACGCTGCACGAACTTTGGAAGACCGAAATGCAGAAAAATCATGATCGGTGATCACGAATAGTACCTGGGATACGATATGTTTGCCTTTGGGAGATTGAAAAAACTGTATCAAGTTGGCTGTCAACAAAGCCCTGCGATCATCGGCTGCAAAATCCACATCGGGAAAATACTCGGGCCACGAATTGGGAATCGTCAACGCTCGATCAGGGCAGCTTCGAGAGGTTTCAGCTTCCATGCCGGCGGCCAGCGTTTACGCACTTCTCTTACAGTGTGGTGTATACAGGCTGCAGACCTGTCACCATTCCTCCGATCCAGAGCTCAATACTTCTTCAAAGCGCCAGCGAGACCACATATCAACCGATCACGACCAAGTGTGTCAACTAGGCCTTCTGTGTAATCGGAGAAATTCGGACTGAAAATTAAATTGTTCTGGGAGGGCATTCATCGTCAAATATTTCACGAAACATCGTTCGCGAAGAGCATCCGAGTTCAGTGTTGGACATGCCCTTCCGGCGCTCGCTCGCACATTCATACTTTTCTCGAGCCATGAGGGCGGGAAACATCTTCGTAAACTCCGGTTCGTGCGGAAGATCTGTCATCCTTTCTATTTCCGTCTTGTCGATGACACGAGGGCAAAAACCACAAGAAACATTCCAAACATTGAAGACATTCCGCTCAAAGGAAAAAGAGGACGCCCACAGGGGTCCAATATCCTTAATGAATATTGTGTTCCACAAATTTAATTTTTTTATTTTTAATTTTATGGGAGTTTTCAGTGATATTTCTATGAGCATCTTGACCAGTTGCATCGGACGGTTTCCATCGCTCGTTCTGCCTCTGACCACGTATAATTCAGCTGTAAATAGTCAACTCACGTATTGGGGAGAAATGAACTTTGAAATGGGGTTAATGATTTGGAAAAACAACTATGTTCGCGTTCTAATTTCTTATATTGAAATTTTCACTACAATATTTTCATGATTTCAATTTATCGATAACTTGGATGCTTACTCGTGCGCTTATAATTGACAAAACGGAGGGATTTTTTTTCAGCCTTTGCCTTGGGATTTGAAAAGTGTTCTCCCTCCACAAATTATAACAAACTCATACTTTCTTCTTTGTTAGCAACAGACTTCCATGGCTACCCGGCTCCACATCATGAACCTTGTATGAATCTTCATTCAAATGGATATTCTTACAAGGTTTGTTTGATTCCTTTCAGTTTCCTACGTATTGCATATATTGGAGATCTCTCCTTCAGGATTCCATTTGGTTAGGAAAATATATATCTGCTGGGATGGTATGAAAAAATAGAAGACTCACAACATTTATCTTCAGCACATAATGTTGTCTTTCAAGGTATTCAGCAATCAAGATTCATATCATTTACTATCCGAGAGATTTGCTTGATGGGACCCCTGCGGAAAGTAATTTGCTTGATGGTACCCTTCAGGTTTCATTTTACCCGATGGGACTCCATGAATGATGCACCGTCACCCATGTTCTAATAACAACTAGAGAGAGTGCAACGAGTTCACCGCAACCGCAGACAGAGTGGACTTCGGACTCCATCACACTCACTTGTTTTTATGTTGTCATTATGTATCCAGTCACTTTCCAAGGAGACGAGCAAAGAAATGTTCATCCGGAGTTTAATTGTTCGTCACAAATGGGTGATCGTGAGACTTGAGCAGGGTTACGGAATGAGTGTGCAGGTGGGAGGCAACAGAGAAATCCGCGAATCTTTGCGGTGGGAAGAATTGAAGCACAACAAATTGCACTTCGAGCAAAATCGATCTTTGTCCCCGTGATAATCCACCAGAAATTATAATCAGGGATTGATCTCTTATTGTAATTCCCGCATTGTAACTAGTAGTAATCGTAGTTACAAGAACTATGTCCGACGGCACACTGTCGTTGGGGTCCCATCGGGTAAAACTAAACCTGAGGGGTCCCATCAAGTAAATTACTTTCCGTAGGGGTCCCAATTTTGAATTTTTCTACATGATCGAAATTACTTACTTGTCGGCTAGTGATTCCATTGACCAATATCTTTGACAAACCTTCATGATCAGCAATGAAAGGACAAAGAAAATGCAAATCAGCAATCGGAGTGCGAATTACTAATCTTTGAAGTAGTTATTGCTCCCGAACTGAAGTAGATATTATAAGTAACTTTCTCAGATATGTAAGTAGTGTCTTCAAAGTTAAAAAGAGTAAATTGTTAATGATCTCTGTATAAAGTTTTCAGAGGTTGATTTATTTCATAGATGTGAGATCTCAAGATTTAACGTAATTATACAATATGCACAATTGCGCATGCGAATTATCACAGAACTGAAGTGAAGTGAAGATGAGTACAGAGTTGTTATGCGATAAGACAGATGAAGAAGATTATCACTCTGTTCATAGATCAAGTTTTTTTTAAATTTTATCTAGATATAAAATATATTGTTACTCTCCAATTTCTCATCATTTATAGTGTTTTAGATGTGTACCATATAATAACATGAATTTTTTCTTTCCATTTTTACGTAGATTACAATTATTTTTGTTTTTATTTTTACTTGATAATATAAAATATATTTGTTCAGAGCGTTGATTTACGATCTTCCATCTCAGTTTATCAATAGGTGTTTACAGAATTCCCCTTTTTATCACATTAATTTTGGGAATTTTATAGTGTAATATGATTATATACTCAGCGTCACAATCTACCAGTCAGATGGTTGGTTGTGTGCTGTTCAGAGTAAACTTGAGAAACCTTGAGTTGTGACAACGTAATCTACTACAGATCAATTTATACATCAGGTTCTGATAGATGTGATACTTTTGGAACGTGGGGAAATTGATAATTTTCAATCAGTAGAAGTGAACATTTCCACTCAAGTCTTTTAGATTTCTTGTACGTATCTTTTACGGATGAGGATCAGACCACCAACGTAATGAGATATATCATTTTCATCACAAGTTTCAATGAAGTTTCATTAAGCATTCACATAATTCATAGGGAGAAAATCGTTTAGAATATGTGCACAATTTATTGACATGTAGGTATAAATAGATTTGTCATCTGTACAGAGAGTGGAGACTAAGCTCCACACGCGATTCCATCACTCTTGACGGTATTTAAGTTCCTCCTCCCGGTCGAACGACGGCGTTGGGGTTCTCGTAGGCATGAGCAGCCGCAGCCTTCTTCTGGGCCAGACCGTCCTTGGCCATCTCCTTCTCCGCCTCGTTCATCGCCTTCTTCTCCTCCTTGGCGCGGATCGCGTCGGCCTGCTTCAAGTGCTTCTCGGCCTTCACTTGCTGCTCCTCCATCTCGCCATGAGCCTGGGCCTTTGCCACCTGCATTACACGAGAAAACCGATGAGGTTATGATCGAGACAACAGCTCTTTAACAAGGCTTTGACATCTTCGATTTGTCTCAGTGAGTGAAATCGACCGCCTGTCAGTTGCTCTGGGTCCTGGCTTGACGTAAAAACGAGTCCGTCAAATTAGTGTTCGTTCTCTTCGTGCGATTGGATTTTCGCGTCGTGGAAGAGTTTTGAGGTCATTGTCAATCATCTGCCGATGTAGTCACGACGAGAGCTCACTGATGTGCCAAATCGTTCGAGCTAATAAGTCTGAATTCCACGCCCGACCCACGTCACAGCAAAAGAATGTTTTGCTTCACTAGCTGGCGGAACATTCCTTGACATGATGTGATGTTCGCGGTGTGACTTCCGACGAGTGAGCAGATGATATCATGGCCCCTCATATTCCCTTCCTCTTCAAGCTTCATTCTACTTGTCTCTGATAAGACATGGGAGGAAGATCAGATAAACCTCCTCCCCATGTTTGCGCACGTTGTCCCTGATTGAGCAGGTAACTCCGTCCTCGATCAAACCTTTGGAGGAGAAGCATCTTGCGGTCGGACTAGTTTTGAAGTATATCGATCGCGTATCAATCCGCAAGTCATGGCCGGTAGGTCTAGCCAAATTTTCCTCACAAACGAAAGCGAAGTGATACAAATGTGGCAGGTGAGCAAAGCATGTGCGTGTATTTCCAACTATATTTGATTCCTATCGTGCAGGAGGAGAAGGGTGATGGTGAATATGCTGCATTGCTTGGAAATCCATCATAAAATTCTCTTCTCACAAAACGACACTCGATCGATCGTGTCACATCTCAGTGCAGATCAATTGTCGTTAGTATTCGGTAGGGACTCAGTGCAAGCAGTCTCCTCCCCATTATCATCATCATCATCATCATCTTGACAAGCAACGTAATAATTACCTTTTCTTCGGCGGAGATCTTGGCCTCGTCTCTCTTCTCCTCACCCTTAGCACCGATGTTGTTGATCTTCTCCTTGGCCGAAGCCGCCACGTTCTTCATGGCATGCATGTCTGCAGCTTTCGCTCGACTAACTGACTTGCTGATCAAACCTCGGACCGAACTACTGAAAACAATGAATGACAACCACAAAAATGGCGATGATCGCGCCTCCTTCTTCAGACAGAATGACGATGACGTTCACAACTGTACGAGATTTCAGGTCGAGAAGATTTGCTATATCTGATCGAGGGCAGATGCTTCTCTTATAGTTCGAACGAGGACACTTTCTTCCCAAAGACGAAAGCAGCCTATCTCGAATTGGACGCACGTCGCCAAATATTCAGAAAGCCGGGTTTCAACGAGAAAATAAATTCGGGACATGCCTCGCCAACACGTGGATGCCAAATCAACACGTGACACTGCAAGCTCTTCAAGGCTAGACACCTGTACTGTGACGTGGCAGACTCTTGTAATCTTCGTAGGCACACAAAACTGGTATTGGCCTGCGTGAAAGTCTTATTGCCCACGTGGTGGATATGGGTAGGCCACGTTGGCCATACACACCGCTTCAGTAATCACTGCTCTGCTCCCCTGACTACGTTGACAAACATCGATTGTCAGCTGATTTTTCTCCCTCGAGAGAGATGCATTTCAATTTGCTGTCCTTTGGCTGCCTTCACGAAATTTCGTTGTATTACCTCGACTGTGGTTGATTGAGATTCTTACATGAAGAATTTTTGAAAGTTGGTGGTAGATGATCATGAACTTCATATATTGAAATTAATCTGGCTTTGATTTTATCTCATCTTCATACGATGAAACGGTAGACCCATGGAATAAAAGGTCAAATGCAAGAACATAGACCTACATACAAATCAAGAGCCAAAGCCTGCCAGAAAATAACAAACCTGGGCCATAAGAATAGGAGAGAGCTAGTCTTTCTCATGATAATTCACTGTCTTCTGCAAGCTGGTCGTCAAAAAGGGTGATGACATGTAGTTTACAAACAAAACGTAATGTGAATGGGAGAGGTTACAACAGACTATAAAATCTTATGCAACGTGTTGCCTGAAATACTACATGCAATGATTAATTTATGAGGATAGTATCTTTCATGATCATCCAAGGTCACTTCCTCACAAAATCATCTATATCTAGTGCAAATGCTTCATGCATCTCCAAGAAAATGGAAGATAGGAAATTCCACGTACGGTCATCGCGATTATGAGGATGTAAGATAGATATCTTCACAGCGCATGATCATTCCTATGTGCTAGGATCCATGATATCACCACCACTTGAAGTACCCTCATAGTTAAATCAGTGATGAAAGTAGAAAATTTCACACATTTTTCGTGTCAAATTGGATGTATGGTGTGATACACACATTCATTAACATTTTGAATGCTAGTAGTGAGTCTTCCAGGTGTAATAGAGCATCAAAAAAGAGGAAGAGCATGTGATAGAACATGAGTAGGACAGTGTGTGATAATAATTCAATATATTATTGAAACTCTCAAATTCTTCGTAATGTAACATCATTATGTAAACCAAAAATGAGGAGCAAGTTGAGATGGTAACTAAATCTTGCGATTTGAAATCTTGACTCTTGGAACACAAGCAATCAATTGACAAACACATAATAATTTTCAGTTCTGATAAAGTATGTACTATGTACTAGACATGAATTACCAACTGTATTTCTTCAACGTTCTAGTCAAGATGATAATAAAAATTATTTTCACAACATGGAATTAGCTCTGAATCGTCTCAATGATACATGCTGATCATTTGACAATATGTACTATATTTGATAGAGATATCATCTTAGAGAGCTCTTATTTATCATGATGCACTCAATATTCTCTATCAATGAAATCTACATCCTCTAATTACATATCTCTAAATAACTATTAATTAATAAATATTATTACAAACCTACGGTGGAGAATAAAAAATTATCATTTGAAAATAATACTTGATAATAGCATGCAAACTTTCACGCAAACATTGGTGTAATGTAATAAAGTATACTTAGATAAAAATCAAACAACATATTAAGAAGATGAAGTTTGAAAATCTAACAATTGAAAGCATGCTATATGATATCTATAACATCCACACACAAAAAGAAAAATTTGATATGTGAAATAAAGGAACATCCTATCACTAATATGATGCATAATTATGATCCAATTCAAAAAGCAAAAGAACAACTCTTGAATACAATGTGCACGTGAAGTTTTTAAATGCAAGAAGCTTACAGGTATCTAACTTAATTTGAATGCATAGCAAGATCTTTCTCCCATAATTCATGCATTCATCTAGGTACATCTGTGCCATCATTAAAAGGAATCATATGCTTCATAAAATCTGAAAGATTATCATATATATCATTCTGGACAAGCCATATGATAACGAGTGCGAAGAAGTGTCAATATATTATGGCATCTTTGCCATATATTCAAGAATTTTTATGGTATTCATTCATTTTGGCTGGATGTAAGAGGTGTGAAGAGCAGATAACTTCACCATGAAATTACGAAACATCAATTTTTTTTCATAAATGGAATAAGATGATCCCAAGGACTTCTGAGATCTTCATAGCTTTTAGTCTCATCTTTGACATAGACAAGAGGGCAACAGAAAAGAAAAGTGATTCAAGACCAGAACACTTGGATTCGCGTCTCGCGTGCAGTGCAGCAGAAGAAGAAGGCATGGAGATGTAATGGATGGAGAGAAGCAGAGGTAGCAGAAAGGACCACGGAAACTTACATAACCCCTGAAGGAAGTACCAGATCAAAGTTTAGCTGTAGATGTGATTCATATTTTGCATGTGTCGGACAAGGTACTGTGTGACCATACCTATTCGCTTCTCCTCAGGGGTCAAGCAGAAGATCATGAAACATGGACTTTTGATTACTTGTTGATCCTTCTAATTGGATATTTATAAGAGGTTTCAAAGAAGAGAATATTTGGGTTTCAACATTCCCTCCACAATTCCTCGTCTTAGATTTTCCTTCTAAATTTGCACGTAAGACAAGTGGATTATCATGCACATTTTGGAATAAACATGACATCGATGTGAAAATAGGAGTCTCAAGGATGACCTCATGTAAGAGAATGATGATTTTATTCTCTCCTACTCGCGCATGGTGATCCCCATGTTGTTATATTCAATCCGTTGCATACTTGACGTCATTTCATTTTTCGTGCAAATCGAGCGCATTCTCCGCATGCATCGTTAATTCAACATGATCGAAGCCTGTACCATATTTGTGCTCTGTAGCTCCAGTGTGAGCTGAAGGTCTGGTTGAATCATGGTTATTCCTTTCTCTCGAATTCATCGCAGGCGGCTGATGTATCGAAGTTGTTGTTGACGCTGCAGTCCGAAGTTGACTGATCTCTTTGGAGCTTCGGGAGCTTCGAGAGAATCTGCGATTGTTCAAGCAAGTGTTCTTAGGCATCTGACGTGAGAGAAGGCGATGGCCCTCCAGAAACGTGGGTGTTTACCATTGGCTCTTTTCTCTGTGTCATGCGGCATGACTCTGTCCAGTTGCCAAACTCATCCAAATCTCGTTATGTCAGAAGCGTCCCCTCCAATTTGAGTTATCCATCTGTGGGATCACAATAGGTCTACGTGGATGTGAAGGCTACGGTAGTTGCAGGAGGAGGTGTACTCATCGATCTCGTGGGGGCCAAGTTGAAGAATGTACATGATCAGACCATCCTTGTGAACTACTGCAGTTGCGTGAAGTTCCTGTGGGGGTGATTATGAAAGTTGATACTTCCTTTGGCCTCATCCAGCGATTGTGAACTGTAATTGATTCTTATTACCCATGATCACACACTCAGCCAATTTCAGCACAAAAGTTCCAGTAGTCCACACATCGCTGGCCCGAGTAGGGATTCCATAGCATTTAAACCGGATCACTAACAGAATACGCTACAAACTTGATTGTGAGAACAAGGCTTTACATGACCCTTTCTTACATGACCCAGCAGCTTGGGAAAAATTCCTCTCGTACGTCTATAAAAGGACTTACACGGGTATAAAAAAAGTATTGATGTTTTTATATAATAAGTAGGTCATCCTAGTTTATCTACCATACCCTGTAATCAATATAATTTTTCAGGGTTGACCCTCCCCAGTCCTCACTCTGAATGGTGAACACAAGGCTTGACATGACCCTTTCTTACATGACCCTCTCATTTTAGCAGGTTGATTAAAACCCTCTCGTAATCTGTAACAGGACTTACACGGGAAGTATTGAAAAAGTACTGATGTTTTAATATAATACGTAGGCCATCGTAGTGTATCCTGCAATCAATAGAATCTTCCAGGGTTGACCCTTCCAAGTCCTCACTCTAGCCTTGTACAGTAACAGGATTAACTGACTGGGAACCAGAGCCATGACGGGCCATTGGAGTACAGTCAGAGGTTTGGACCTTATGATCGCTGATGATGGAAACTGACATTCCCCGAACTTCAAGACCGCACATGGCGAGAGAGCCTGGGCAGCGCGCGCAGAGACGAGAGAAGAGGATAATGATAACCACCACCACCGCCTCGACAGTGCAGGAAGCAGCACCTCGGAGCTGGTATAACGTCACCGAGAGAGAGAGAAGTTTGAGGGTGGGAATTGTCTTCGTCATGCGGTGCTGGGTCACTGGAGAGGGGGAGGAGGTTCAGTGCACACGAAGCAACTGGAGGAACAGGATGCTTTGGACAAGCCTGCTGCTGCTCCTCTGCAAAAGTCAGCTGCAAGGATGGGACCGATGAGTTCGACCTGCAACGGAAAGTTGAAGTCTCCGAGCGTAGGTAGAGAGAGACATGTCCTACAGCGAATGTGGATCTGGCGAGAGCTTTCACTGAACAACACATGCAAGAGTGATGCGAGGTTTTGGCCTGAATGGTACTGAAACGTCATTCGTGGATGGGATCCTGTCGATAGTCACTGACAGATACAGCCTGATGTCCATTCGAGCTGGGCAAATTAACCGTGAGAACGCAGCTGTGCTGCGTGCAGTACGTCAACGGGGCCAGACAGACAGACCCAATTCTTGTGCTTCGACGGTTGGCATCGACATTATTAAAGCAATCCACTGAACAATAACAGAAGCAATCCGAACCTGACCTACTTCCCCTCTCGGGATGGAAGAACAAGTGAATCTCCAAACTGACACAAATTGCAGACTTCAATTTAGGGTGGATGGATTTGAAACAATAATGCTTTCGTATTTCGTGTGTCCTCAGCTTCTCCGTTTCTGCCCAGACTGTGACTGAGGAAACGGTAGATGAGATCGTACCGGTACTTACATACTACTATACAATGAATGAATGGATCCAGATCCGCCCGCCTTCCAGCCACTCCTGCCCCTGCTGCTAATTCTGATTGAGAGAGGGAGACAGCGTCTTAAACCCCTGGTTCACCAATCCTCAAAGGTATGTGTGATTCTGTTCGTGTGTCTGTCTACAATGATTCCAGCTGCTGTACAATGTGACATCTAGCCATCAAATCGCTCCCTCGTTGCCGGTGGCCAAGAGGGCTGCTCCACCCATTCCACATTCCGTGTCCCCACATTCGACCTGGTCGGTGTGGCTATGGATGCAGTTCAGGGCCCTAGGGCGTTTTCGTCGGTCGACTGAATGATGAGAAATCGATCAATTGATCGATCAGATGACCATTCTCTTGATGTTACGGTGCTGCCTCGTGGACAAGGAAGGAATGTCAATGCCAGAAACTCCAAATGCTGCAGCCTCTGCCACTCCATCCTCCCTATCGTTCTCCACTGCAACAGCACACACGCGCTAACGCACTGACAAACGAGCATGTCCTTCACCTGTAATTCTTCTACCAAAATCTATTCCCTCCTACCTCGTCCAGCACCCTCTAATCTGAGCTTCCGACAAGAGAGCAAAGGGCAGCAACGACGATCACCTCGTCCATCGCTCTCTGCCTCTCTCGTCGCATAAACCGATTCTTCCTGCCAGAGGAAGAAATCCTCAATCGCTCACGCGCAACGCCATCGCCATCGCCAACGCCGCTGCTGCTGCCGGCGATTCAGAGCGCCATAGCAGCAGCAGCAGCGAACTTCTGTGTTTCTATCGAGCTAGAATGGAGCAAGCACGACGAATATGAATGAATGGAAGGGAAGGAGGGAAGGGAGGAATGGCCGGATGCGGAAAGAATGGCATCACGACGGCATGCGTCACAGCGGCACCTGCAGAGCGTAGCCCTCGGGCTCGCCGCAGCGCTGGTGCACGTCCATGAGGCGGCCCACGGAGCGGCAGATGCCGCTGCAGGACCAATCGAAGGAGGCGACGCAGTAGTTGCCGGCCTTGGCCTTCCATTCGCAGGCGGGGGGCGTGGAGCAGCACAGGCTGCGGTCATTCACGTACTCGACGTCGAGCCCGAGCAGCCACGAGCCCAGCGACACATCCTCATTCACATAGCGCTTCAGAATGCCCTGGTTCGCAGCGATGTACTCAGCCAGATTGCGCGACAGCCCATAGAGCTGGCCCGTGGCGTGCATGAAATACTTCTCCCCGAATTTCCAATACTCAGGCTCGTAATACTTCACGCCGCGGTGCGAGAGCACGGGCCCCGATTTCATGCACCCAATGTACACTGCGGGCTTATGGCGGTGCGTGGCCAATGTTTGCGCCAGAGTGCCGACATTGGTGTGAATGTCGTCGTCGACCTTGACGTAGAACTCAGCATCCCAGAGCGAGACGGCGGTGGCGAAATAGATCTTCGTCTTGGCTGATAGCTCGAGGTATCCTTCGACGTGCTCGATGCGCAAGAAATCGTGGTGCTGATTATCCTCGGCGTCCAGAGCACGGTCCAGAATTCCGCCTCGGATTGCCCCGTGCCCGATCACGAAGCGCATCACGATGCCCTTCTCCTCCTCGAGCTTGCGCAGCTTCTCGCCCGACGGCATCCACGTCTGCCGCACTGAGTCCCGCCGCTTCCTGCTGCTGAATGCCGTGTTGATGCCGATCACCACGAATGCCTTCTTGGCCGCCCGCCCCGATGTCTCGTTCCTGCCCTGCACGTAATTCACCACCGCCTGCTGCTGCTGCTGCTGCTTCTTCTTCTGCTGCTGCTGCGGCTTCACGGGCTCGGTCGATGTCGAGGATCGCCCGATGGCGTCTTCGCCCTGCTGTTGCTTCAGGGAGGCGGCCAATTCGGCCTCGAGCGAGAGCATGGATTTGTCGAGCGTGCGCACCGACGAGTGCAGCTGCGAGATGTGCGACAGGATCTCCTTGGCGTCGTACGAGTCTTTGGGGGGCCGGAACTCCTCGTCGTCGTCCATGTCCTCATCCTGCTGCTGCACGAGCAGTTTCTCGAACTCGCCCGCCGCCTCCTGCTTCACCAGCCCCGTCGTCGCGGGCGACGGCCACACCCTCTTGCCCGTGAACAGCGTGCCCACCCAGAAGCACCCGATGCACAGCATCACCACCCATTTCGTGCTCAGCGCCCTCGCTCGTACATTCGTCGTCGTCGGCAGCGGCGGCGGCATTTTCCCAATTCCTCCCGTCCCGCGCGGAGGTCGCTGGCTTCTCCTCTACGATCGCTCTCTCTGCAATTCCCCGAATCCCAATTCAATCCCCGCCCGAATCACCCCGACAACGAGCTCGATCACTTCTCCAGCACCTTGATCATCATCCTCGTCCTCGTCTCCGTCCGCATCATCGCATTCCGAAGCGCTGCTCTCGCCGACCACCATCATCCATCGCGAACATTTCTTCCCGCTGTCCAGCGTAGAGAATGACCTCGCTCCAGCGTCCGTCTCTGTCTCTGTCTCCGCCTCTGCCTCTGCCTCTGGCCCTGCCTCCCCAACACACTCGATCACTCACTCACTCATCACTCCAGCTGCGGGCTTCCCACACAATTCGGGCCGCGAGAGGACCACCCAACCACTTAATGGACAAACGAAGCAATCACTCACCCACTCACCCACTCACTCACTACTCGATATAACTCTTCACTCACGGATCCAAAGCCCGTCCAGAATCCACCGCCCATCGACAATCACTCCCTCACGGTCTCGCTCTCGGAGCCCAAGAATCGTCGTTCGATTCCTCTTTCAAGCATTCCCGCCCACTCGCAGAAAGTCTCTCCCGACTCTTTCGTTCGAGAGATGCGAAGACAATAGTCCGCGAGAGAAGTGTCGGCAGTTGGTCGCGGGTGTTTACTGGGTACTCGTGCAAGGCCTGGCCTTTATTCCAGCTTCCACAGCTCTGCGCTCCGCTCCTTCATAGCTGGGCGTATCTAAACCGGCACCAAGCACCGAGCAGCGAGGAGCAGAGCTCGAGCGAGAGAGCAACGGAATCCGGACCCAAGGAACAGGGCGACAGGCTCGCGCTCTGGGGATGGCTCGCCGGACCGGGGGACGCAGAGAATGGTCGTGGGATGGGGAAATGCGGAGGCAAATCAGGAGTGCGCGGCTCCGAGAGAGCTCGCCATGGAGTTGCGTACGCTACAGAACTGGAGCCGAGAAGCTCGTCCCACGAGGTGTCGACTCTTGCTTCCCCTCTCCTGGGCTGGAGTCACCGGCCAGTACGCACAGTACATCCGACGAGGTGGTGGCCGAGGTGGGGGCCGAGGGGCCCAAGATCCCCCTCCCCACGAGCGGATGATCTGGAGGTGTGTGATGATGAGCCTGCCGGGGCTTCAACGAACCGGCATAGCTCACGGGGGCCCGACTGCTCGGTACTCGTCTGCTCTCGCTCGGCTTTGCTCCGGTCCTCTGCTCTTTCGCTGCTGACAAACGGCCTACCTTCCCCCGCCGTCTGCCGTCCGTCCTCCGCTCGTCGCGTTCGGACGTGGCTCGCCGGCTCGGCTCGTTCCGTTCATCCTTATTGCGCATTCAGGCTGCCGTCTGGTGGTTAGGGCTCGGCGGAACATCGGAGCGCAAATTAGAGAGAAGAGGCGAAAATTATCGAACGAAAATTGTCGAATTCCCAATTTGAGAGTATAGTTTGAGAAGTCGATTCTTGAAACATTTTCAGGAAAATCTGTGCCTTCAAAGTCTCCCGGTGTGATTATCGAGGGAGGATACGAGATTGGGTCAAACGGACCCCCGATTCGACCATACCACCAACTTTAAGAGAGTCATCATTTGTGAACATGACTTTTTTTTCAACCCATTTCACGCTTGCAGAGATGGTGCACCTGTAGACATTTAGCAGGTATGTTTCGGTGTATGCTGGTTTTTCTTTGATATCTCTGATTTCTAAATTTGTCATTACAACTGCAGTGAAATGTAAGTAAATTTCAGCGTTATATTCATACTGCGATATATTCGTACAAGTCATCGCAACTGTTTCTTCTTTAAGAATCAAGTTACCATTGGTATAAGTGATTATAAAATATAGTGACCATATTTTGCCTACAAAATATGATCACGTAAAATAATTGAACAATTCTTAGTCAATCGTAGAATTCAAGATCAGATTATCAAAATGCGTGTTTAAATTCGCTCAAATTTTAAGTTTTCAAATTTGAACGAACCTATAATGATTTACATTTATATTCATTATTTTCTGATGAGATAACCTTTTGAATATGCATAATTATTAATTATCAAAAAGATTCATCTTTTTAATTGTCAAATTTAATATTATCTTTATATATTCTTTATTTCTCAATTAAGAGAAAATCTTTGAACCTTGCAACGTAAAGCATATATGACATTCAGAAAATGATGTATCATGCACTATCTCATGGTAGAAGGAGTATTTTATCATGTTAATACTTCCATTTGCAAAAACACAACATGGCTACACTACACTACACTTAACACTATAACATAGCTCAGGTGAATAAATACCTTTTATCAAAAAGTAATACCATTGACTTCTCTCTTAAATGAAGGAATCCAAATGTTTCCAACTGCTATACTTCCAGTAAAGTCATAGTCTTTTGCATCTCAAATTTGGCATTCTGGAATGACTTAGATGTGTGAAATTGAGACGCTGCAGATGTGATTTGAGGAAAATTATTCCTTTCAGTAACAGCAAGCACAACCATTAAAACTCATATTGAACTTGTGGGTTAATTCTCTATCTAATCCTCTGTCATCTCTACCCATACGAGCTCTGATAAATCATTATTTTACTGTGTGTCGGATTGTGGCAATGGGTTTCAGTTAAATAAGATGACTCTTCATTTGGTCCTCGCAGGGTGAAGTCATCATCCTTCTGGTGGAGTGTATTGTATATTTTGTTTGCAGGTAACGGTTTTATCATTCTGATTTATCTCCAAGTTGGGCTTTAGCTTTCAGAATTTCTGAAAGTTACGAAGGATCACATGAAAGTCAAATCTTCTGAAATTTATACTTGATTTGAAATAGCCAAATAAGTTATAACTGCTTATCATTATAGCATGTGTGCATTTAGTAGATTGACATTGCAGATACATAAATCTCGACTGGCAATGTCGATATCATTTACAATAAAGTCAGAGTTGCAACTCCTGGTCACAGCATACGTTCTTGCAATAATGGGGGCTGAAGTTGTGGTCGGCCTCGAGAGGTGGTCCCTTTTTCCTTTTGGCAGAGCCATCACTTATATACCTTTTCCAAAGCGTAGACGCAAAGCCAAATTCCTGAACTTCGCATTTTGCGCTTGCTCCATGTGAGAACCAGCAATCATGAAAATCCACTCTACTGGCGCTTTTTAATATAGATGTATGTAGAATTGGTCAGTGTATCTGTCACAACAACAATATTCGGATAATCAGGTTCGACTTTCATAGGCAGGAACATGCAGGACCCTAAACCAAGACTCTCTTGAGTTGAAAAGAAAGTGGGGAGCTGGAATAAAAATCTATCGAGCGCTGAAATCTTATCGATTCTTGTACAAAGGAAAAGCAGGCGAGACAGGATCCAACGGAGGGCCCAAAAGAGAAGGAGAGAGTTAATCACAAGATTAGCTTTCTGGCTATAAATTCGTTCATCGGTGGTGTATCTTTTGCTTGTTTTATTTAGATTTGATTTTTAACATTGAGTTGATAATTGTCTCGGATTGTTAATATGAGTCTAGATCATGCATCAGGAATTTAAACGATCGTTTTTCCCATATCGTTTTTCGTAATTTTGTTAATAATTAGTTTTTCTCAAACGAATTTAATCTTCATCAAAATGGATAACACCTATAAATAAAGGACCTGAAAACTTCACAAGTTATGAATCAGGTATAAAACCGATCAAAGAAGCTTGTATCCAGTTTCAAATTCGATATTCTATGTCTGCTTTAGTTTGTGTAATTTTTTATGTAGACACAATTTTTCTTTATCATTAGGAGTGTGCAGCATTGATCTTCTTCTGAACGAAGATGGTTTGTGGTTGTTAAGCTTCAAGGGGAGATCATGAGTACTTTTGGACCCAAAGTGCACAGAGAGGAAGAAATGCTTTAGCAGACAACATCCGAAGGGGACGGCAGCAAGGGGTAGGACCGAAGCACGAGGGGGCTACAGAAGCATCGAATTTTGGAGTGCTGTGAAGCCCATGAGGGCCTCCTGTTCTCTCCACTGTAGGACGAGGGCACCCACCGCGAGTGAGGAGAACAGGGTGAATCGAAAAAGCGAGGCTCCTTTGACATCGATGGAATTGCCGTACCCATCACTTCGTCTTCATCTTCCCGCCTTGACCATCAACATCGCATCATCTTTTCGACGTTTCTGTTCACACGAGCTTCTTCGCTCGTCGAAGAGCATTCCCTCCGTGGTCCACTTTTTCCTGTCGCTGATGTTTGTCAGCTGCGAACCGAGCCCGTATTATCTTGCTCTGCTGAAGTGATCTCGATTGAACAAAACTTTGTGCTACGGTCACACGAACCTCTGGCGTGCATGGAGCTGAGCTGCGATGGATTCATTGCTTACGCTCGATTCCAAAAATATCAACGAATTTATTCGATTCAAAGGTCAGAGCATCAATGGGACCGAGTGCAGACGAGAGCAGACACCGAGGGAAACAAGCATCCCATCGCCATCGTCTTAGAAGCGCTGCGTACTTATCGTAATGCACGCTCTGCGATTTCGAGAAATTTTGTGTTAGCGAGGGAGGTCGACTGTGCGTGCTGTGTGTGAGCTAAGCCTCTGAATGATTGAGGTCGAAAAGGGGCGGCGCCATGCACGCAGGGGACCACTGTCGTTGTGTACATAGGCTTCATCTAGGAGACATGAAAAGAGCGAAGGTTCCGACGAGTCCGACGAGTCCGACGGGGCCTGCGATGGTCATGATGAGCATTATCTTCAATCATAGCACTCCTTTCGAGCGTCGGTCAGTGCGTCAGTCAGCGAAGGAATTTTCGGAACACGGGAGGGCCTGCTCGACTTGCTTTGAACATTCGTCGTGGCGTCTCGAGCGTCTGATTCCTCGGCTTTTTCCCGCAAGGTGACAAGCTCTGTCACTCCCCCTTGAGGCGATCTGTGGCGTGCCGATCCAGCTCTTCATGCTCCCTCGATCCCCGGTCCCTGCCCGTGACACGGGCCTTTCTCACGTCATCTCCCACCTCTGCTCATATGACTATGAACATAGCCGACAGTAAACGAGCACTGGCTGATTCGCTTCCGATGTCCAGAGCACCAGACGGAGTTCGGATCCAAATGGGCACTGTCCGTGTAAGCAGGTAACTGTCTGGCTGACTGTCGTGCTGTAGGCCTTGATGGAAATCAGTTACGTGTGATATCGAGAATTCTTGTGGTTACGTATCCTCCCCGTCTGTTGCACGGATCTGAGAATTTGCTGAGACCATCTTACTTATCGTGATATGTACAAAGGGACCGGAATCGGACTTCTGCAAGCATCTTTGTTGGCATGAGGTAACATCAAGTATGATGGGCTCCTGGAGCACATTATGACATGTCCTTATATCTTCCAGTGTGGAACAAGGACGGCACCTGGGACATGTACACCCGCCCGAATATGCAAGCATGGTTCGTACCACGAATTATTCCACTTTTCGGTAAAGCCCTGAGGAGATTCTTTCATTTAGTGGTTTGCTTGAGAAATGAAGCTACAACGTTGAAATCCATGCATGAACAGGCCCTGCGCTCGAGGGACTCCTCGATCGATATTTTTCAAATTTATAGTCCCTGTCATTCATTGGTAAGGAACCTTTTGATCTATGTTCAGCTTGTAGATCCGAATGTTTGCATGATGTTTACTGTACACATGAATAAACCCAGAATGGGCGGTGAGGCTCACACGTCTCTTCTCTAGAATGACAGAGCAGGCAGGACATCTATGAACTCCAAAGCCATCAACACTTCCGAGTCATCTACACTCGGGTGCAGCTCCTGTTCTCGACAATGTGATTCTTGAAAAAAAAATCACGTAAAATCTACGCTTGTCCACACTTTCGGAGGCATCTGAAACCTTCTTCTTCATACTCTTGCCTGCTAATCCAAAACTCAGGGGTGTCCTGCACATCACATGAAAATCGGGGCACATCACTTTTGTCCTCAGCAACGTGAGGAAAAAACAATATCACCACTACGCTAAATCTCCTGGCTTTACACTCTTATTTGTGAAAAAACATAAGTTATCACAAGGGAAGATTCCAAGTATTATCGAAGCCATAGTCTGAAGTCAAGACTACGTAACAGAAATATTGGACAAAGCCTACCTTCATAATCCCCGCAAGCACTGCTCCTCCTAGATAAACCATGTGCTTTCGCCTTGGAGGATCTTCAATTCTCAGTCTCAATTTCTGAATTTACATGAAATAAAAAAAAATATGTAAGAGGATATTGTTACTGGAGCTCGCAACAAGCATTCTCGTATCAAGATAGTTAGATTAAAATTGCCAGACATGTGCAGTGCCATATCATTAAAACACTCAAAATCGTTTGTGCCCTACAAACCGACATGGTGACCAGTTTTCAGTACCTTAAGACCATCCTTATTCCCCTTAAGAACAACCTGCAAATACTGCTTGCGAAGCTCTTTCTCCAATCTGCGAAGATTTTCACAGAAGAAACTAAATCAGAATGCCAAATATGCAAACCAGGCCTAGTGCTGGAGTCTTCAAACAATATTTCTCCATATCACAAGGATCGATATTCACCATCTGTCCCACGCGAACAAAGAAAGATATCCAAAAGGTCTGTACACGAGGACTCCATATAAATCCAGAGACGGATGGCAAAGCCCATAACTAGGCCACCCTCATACTCATGTTAAGGACAAAACGAGTGAAGAAGAAAGAAAAATGAAGCACCTGCTAGGTAGACCAGGATACATTGTACTTCCGCCACTCAGAACAATATGTTGATAAAGCTGCTCACAAGCACAAATTTATGTGAGACTCTGTACAGAGAAAATAACAAACAAGTTTCTGACACATGCTGTCAGCACTACCTAATAAACGACTCATTCAAAACTTCGAAAGCAATTTCACCGGTAGCATTTCAATACGACGTAGAACTGAGCTTGATACTTGATAAGAGATAAAGATAATACTTGTTCCTCAAGCCAAACGAAAGAGTATTCTCTATTGTATTGTATCTTGGACCTTGCATCAATCTTTACTTAATTATTATATGACTGATTTTATTCACTTGGGTGTATTCAGTTCACATGTAAGACGAGATGCACAAATGTCTTGGATTCTTCGAGATATAGGGTTGACAACGTACCAGCATCCGATTGTCAATATCCATTTCTTGGACACAGTGGAAAACCAACTCTGCCAACCCATCTCCCTCCATGTCTATTAGCTCCTGATATAGGCAATACAGTATTTTATGAAATCGTTGTCAGTCCAACATAGTCCAGATCCATCAGTGAGCCTAAGAGGAAAGTAAACTGTTGGAAGTAAAATTATACCGGAGTGAAAAGTGCCTCAGGAGCTTGGAACCGTTCTGCTCCAACTTTGATCACTCTTCCGTCTGGCAGCTGGTAAAACAATACAGGGTCACCAAATTTGATGAAAAGTTGTAAGGGTTTAAACCAGTGACAAAATTTCTTTCCTGTACGGTGATATTCGACATTGATAACAACTAGTAACTCACTTACAGAACCATGCGATTTTGGCATGAGCGATGCAACTCACAGTATACTGCTTGACCAAGATTGTTGTTTCAATTCCCAATTGATACTCACGCTTGTAATCGATGCTGGTGTAGTGAACACATCGAATTGCAGAAGAGCCAAAAGTTATTGATAAGCAGGACTTCATGAGGAAAATGGTTGACAAGAAAAAAGCACTCAAGATTCTAAGCGAATAGAAGGTTAAATGGAAAAGTTTGACGAGTGTGGCCGTTACCTGACGTAGCACAACTTCTCCTTCATTTCCCTCACAGTCTCAAAATCTGCTGTTCTGTTGAAAGCATACCTGATCAACGCATCCATGTTCTGACTATTTAGAACCTACATGAAGAACATCTATTCCTCCTTCGCAATCGTTATTCTTTTAAGAGGAATAAATGGGACGACAAGAATAATACTTCAATATCCACAAAGACCAGTGTAGAATTCGTCCTCAAAACATAACAAACTCGACAGAAATAAATAAAAATAAAAAAAGACAAGGATCGTAAAAAAAATCCTCACAACTCTATGAAAGTTTCCATCACTTGTCACAGTAAGGCATGCACTGACTACTTCAAAGCAGTAAGACGATTACATAGAGCCTAGAGTGGATAGAACGGTTGAATCGAATGAGAGAAACTGATTGGTCATGACTTGTGATAGTATTTACTTCAAGCTGTTAGTAAAATATATAAAATAGTTCACTCTCTCAAATGACCACACTTTCCTACTACTACGGCAGCCTTACAAGACGGTATCGATAATGTACAACAAAGAAGCATAAGCGATCGTCATAAAGTTATACAGATAATTTAGAAGTACATTTGAGTCACTGTAAGCCCGGGACAAATGGTTCATCCTTAGAACTAGGAATATAGTATTGATGACTCACCCTCGTCTGAGAAGAAGATCGATCAGATACGATGTAATATGCCGGCCAGCTATATTCATTCGCTTGGTAAGATGTGGAAAGGAGAAGCCATCAACGACTGGTACCTAAAAAAAATTGCAATAATGAATATAGTTCCTGCCATAAAAGTGTATTCATAAAGCTACAAATCTTAGGACTAGAAGGAAACCATAAACAAATAATTTAAAAAATAAATTTTCGGCAAGTGGAAGACTTACGACATGGGTAACTCCATCTCCGGAATCAACCACTAACCCAGTTAATAGCCCTATCAAAACGAATCGACTCATTAGTCTTCAACATATTTCTATTTTCTTCAGTCTACTTTTCTATTTCTACGAAGTTCAGATCAGCACCGCTCAGCCAGGGCGGTCCATGAAAGGCACTAGAAACAACAAAGTCAGATTAAATCTGACTTGGTTGTATCTAAATCAATGCTTTGATAACATCTGCAAGTTGATTTGAATCTAACGATAGGTAGTTCGTTCGAATTATTTTGAATAGTAATTAGTATGAGTGATGAACGTAACAAAACGTGCACTAACAACAGTTGAACTTGAGAAAAAACAAATACCGTCTTTACTCTCATTATATACATGCTCTTAGTCTGGATCTGAGAACAGAAAGACTGAACTCGAAGAAAAACACGGGAGTAAACAAGAAATGCGTCTCAGACAACACAGTCAAAGAGAACCAAATTCAAATTGCTCATTATATGTGACTCATCAGCACGGCAGTAACTATCCACTAAAATCACAAGATGCCGGTCTTCTCAATAAGCATACCTTGTGCATATAGAGTAAGGACCGCTTGTATCTGGATAAACACTCCAGCGAAGTTGTACTTCTCAAACATGGTTTGAACCTGCTCCAAGCACCCATAACGACAAATGAAATATAGTAGCGTTTAGACCGATCACTGAACTCAAATTGTACTGTCGATACCTCAAAACACACCAAGGTTTCAAAGCTCCTTAAGAACTAGCTTCTTTCATACCGAGTCACATCCCACAACTTTGAATGGATAGAAAATTCTCTAAACTTCAAGAGGACCCTAAATGATTTTGATGAGCGAAAAGCTTCTCAAGTTGGAGAGAGGCTGCATTACCATTTTCTCCCTATTCTTTGTGGGATTTAAAGGGGGATCTGTCAAAAGAATTTTTGTCTCTGAAGGATCAACCTGCAACACGAAAATTTAAGGTAAGAACTCGTTACATCCATCGTAACCTAGTCTTGCCACGAACACTACAGGTTGTTTAAAGCGTCTAATCAGTATCATCTGCAACTCGCTAGATAACGGTTTAGGTACTGGGATTAATGCTGATGACTATAACAAAACTTACACTGGGCCTTGATACCGATCATATATATAAAGAGGGGTTTCAATCAAAGAGCTTGATACGGTGCTTACTGCGATAAATATACTCATGCTAACTACATCCGCATTATGGGCAAGGATACTTACGTGTAGAATGTTGAAGAAAGTGTGATCCCAAATATGTCCCATGTCATCCCAATTTTGAACGATACCATTGTTGATAGGATATGAAACTTCCAGCTGCTGCCTAAGTTCAGAACACGTGTCTCCGACAACTATATCCTGTCACGATGAAAGCAAGACCTCTAGTCATACGAAGTAGACATTCCAATATATGAGAATCAGAAGAAAAAAGTGTCACAAATATACAAATATCAAGTATTCTACAACAATTCTACACTAGATACACATATATACCTGAAGCTCCTGTTCTCCGAGACTCTCCTCGTAACGGAGCATAGGTCTTCCCACCATGCAAGGGAAGACTGCGGTTGGGAAATTGTCTCCAGCAAAACCACATTTAACAAACTGCAGGACAAGTGGCCACCATCAAGAGTCACGACGCACTGCAGAGGAATAACACTGTCATGCAAAAATCGGCTAACACTTATAAAGCCCGTTGATACGATCCATAATAAAGTTTGAAAGACTAACAAGCAGAAGAGCCACATGCTGCTGCTGTGTTGATCTCGTGATCCATTTTTGTATGAGTTCCCAAAGTAGAGGCACATTTTCAACTTAACAAAAAAATTTGAAAAAAAAAAATGCCCCCATAGGCCTAATCCTCCTGCAAACTATTTCATGTCACTACCTAGAACAAGGTCATTTTCGCACATTTGATACTCTGTCCGTCGCTATTCTTTATCTTAGCAAAAAATGTTACACTTTTTGGTAACTACAGTCTTCATGTATACTCAGAATTGAGCTCAATGCAAGATTGATGATTTGGCAATTCTTACATACCCTTCAATAACCATTCTCATCAAGGAAAAATGAACATAAAAATTTTCGCAACTTGAATGCCGTGAGCTGAAATCACCCTCAAACCATCAACGGGCAAGATAATTAAGTGGCCTCTCTACAGCCACGGGGCTCTAACCAATGGTAAAGTAAGGGAAAAACCTAAGCATCTAGGATTCAAGAGCTGCCAAAGCCTCGTGCATTTTCAACAATTGTCACTTACTAGTCGCTGAAGACCCGATCTCAGCCCATAGACAGAAAATGGGAGCGTGTGCAAATACCAGCATGAGCCAATGCTCGGATCAGTTGTACAAAGAAGCATTAAGCCATAGATGGCTGGCTCAATTCGATGCCAATAGGAATTGGACTCGGCAGAATTGAAGAGGAATTGAACATGGCACTACATTATGGAACGCACATAACTGAGGTACGATAATTTTGGGCGACAACAATTCAGCTGACTGTGAAAGCATACGATATGTTTTCTGAAGAACAAGGGGTAAAGAATGTGGAAACCCACCCCGGTTCCATTGTCACAGACAATCACATTTTGCGACGACATAATGGCAGCCACGCCTGGCCTTGCCCTGATCCACCCCGCCTCGCTCTGCCGCCCTGCTCAAAACCGACTCTCACTCACCCAAGAAACAAGACCAGCACCAGCGGCAGAAGACAAGTACTACTGATAAGGCATCTCCTCGATCGGAAATCTATCATCCATCCGCTCTGCGTTCTTCACTTTTGCCACAACGTCCCAAGTTCCTGAAACTGTCATCAACCTTGCACCACCAAAACAATCGCTTTTCTTCTAGTCTTCTTCTTCCTTCCACCAATGAGCTCACTGCTCTGCTCTGCTCTGATCAGATCCACCAATCGAAACAGTCAATGTTTCCAAACTCTCCTGTTTCTGCGCCTCGATGTCCGAAATCTCGTCTGCTGCAAATTGTGTTGCACGTCCCTCCATGCATCCGACAGCAGTTCCAGCAGGAGGCGATCAATTCCAGGACACCATCCTCTTCCCGCAGACGCTCGAACTTAAATTGAATCTCGCCTTAATCTGCTGCAGCACTTCCACTTCATACTGAATGGGCACTCTGCTACCATTCCATCTTCCGTGCAATACCAAACTTGGCCCTGAAAGTGTATTTAGCAAATATCACCAATCGGGGAGAACAGAGCTCTTTAGGCCATTGTGGGTCTATGCGCTTACTTTGAATATGAATCTTGTACGACCTTGTTGAATCATCGAGAACAGTGGACAAGATGGGACGGCACCTTTAGGACTTGACAAGCACCTTAGCATTCGCGCCATGTAGGTTCCAATAAGTAATCGAGTGCTCTTTTTGTAAATTGCGAAAACGAGCACTTATGTTCATGAAATGTGTAGCAAATTAATTTGACTAAGAAGTGTGTGGTCCATATTTTAGTGCATCCTTGAGTATGATTAATATCAGGTCGTACTCGCTAGACACGAATGATCGCGTGGAATGCAAACGCTTACAGATATATTATATTCAGGCGATCAAAGCGAGAAAAAGGAGATGAGTGGGAGAGCACTTCAACTTGGAACTCAATGTCCGCAGTTATATTGTCTCTTCTTTCCTCGGAGGAGGTCTTCTATCTGCAGAATGTCAAAGCCGCGTGGTAGGGAGGCATCCATTGTGGTAACGGGAAAGGCGAAATGAAGGAATCCGCTAATTCTCCAGCTAAATATTACAACCTTATATTGGGGAATTGGATCACACGGAGTACTCGAAGAAGAGATACTTCGTCACCAATCACGAGCTTACGGCGAGTTGTTCTTCTCCTTTGTTAGCTTACCTACATACTAATCAATGTTCTCGTAACTTCATTCTTGGACTTGGTCCTTTGGTTCGTACCATCATCTAAACCATGAAGGCTGGTCAGATTACTTTCTACTCGTGCATTGTTATTACCGTAGTGTCACACCTATATTTCTCAAAGTAGCGTTATACTCTATATCACAATTTTGATGGTTCATTTGGACCCATATATGCAAATCTGAAAATGCCCCTTACGATGTGTTCGCATTTGAATGAATAACGGTTGTTTTATTTTTGTAAAGAAACGCAATATCCTGTTCTTAAGCCTCTTGAAATGTATATTCGTCTTTTGTTTGACAAGATGATTTTCTTCCAACAATGGATATAAATCAACTTGTTTCTTAAGACCCTTCAGATATTATTTCTGAGTTCCGTTCATTTGATTTAATATGAGCAACATAATAAACCATCGAATATTTGTATGTTCGCATGGCATTTGTAAAATCAACATATCTTTGTTGCTAAGTGAAATTGCAACACAAGTTACAAATATAACAATCTAATACGTATGGACTTATGATCCATTTATCATTCTTGATGCAATATACAGTGTATTGTTTGCATAACATCAAATAAGCATCAAATAACATCATTTCATGCTTATTTAGAACATTAAGTATATTTTTTCCAAATTATATTATGGATGTGATTAATACCATCATGATTAGAATTAAAAAAACAGATGTCGTATTGTAACACATTTACTTCCTCAATACGACAACATTAGCTCAACACTACATTACCAACACAACCTGGAATAATAAAATTTGAGCACATTTTTAGTTCAAGATTAGATTCCTAATTTGACTACCACACTCATACAACTTTCATGTTAGATTTTTCCACCAAACAAAATTTTGATATCATTAAAAATTTTAAAATATAGAAAAAATAATTATGTAAAGGTCTTTCAAAATTTCCAAAATCATTACGTGTTTGAATTTATTAAATTTGTACTTTAATTTTATTATTTTTATTCGATATTTTATACTTATAATATTGCAAAATGCACGTTACATAAAACTCAAATGTAAGTTTCAGAATTTTAAAGGTACAGATGAAAGTATTTTTGATTGATATTTAAAGAAAAACAATAATGCAGTTATTGAAAACTGAATCATTTTTATTTGTAGACTATGAGTATAAATAAATAAATAAATATTATATTATATTATAAAAAACAATTATATTTTCCAACAAAAATATGATTCAGAATCATACATTTCTTTATAGTCTTTGTACTGAGATAAAATTAATCTATACACCCGATAATAAAATAAAAAAGAAGTACAGTTGACTGATAGGGTTTAACAGTCTGTTTACACCTTCTTTCTAAAAATCTAAATTTTTATATGATCATCAATGATTCTCATTGTTTTTTTATGCAAACTGATCACATATGTCATGTGACAAAAATTATCTTGTTATGAACTTTATAGCCTGCAATTTTTTTTTCAATTGATCATCTTGTCGTTGTGACCAGATTAAAAATCTTTATTCATCTAAATTATTAATCAAAATTCTTCCAACATATATACACTAATATGAATATAAACGACATTACTGATATATCTTGGCTGTACAACATATTATGTACATGATTAGATAAATTATTAACAATTATGTGCATATTTAGACTAACAACTTTATTGTAAGTATGCAGTAAAAAATTCATAATCATGTGCAAATTTAAAGGATCTAGTTTGATGTTGTTTACATGTATGTCAATCAATATAAATTTATATCAGAATACACGTGTTGTAAGTTGATTCCACTCATAATTTGAATGATATGTGTCTATCAATGATTAATAGGTATATTCATTTATATTCCAAAAAAACATATGAAATTAGTTAACATTGTTTTATGCATATGTTGAAAAAAATCTGTCACATGTCAAAAATCGATTATTTTTCACATTTAAAAATAAATTTCTAATTGATTATTTAAAAATTTGTATTTCTAAAATATATATCGAAGGATTTTTGAATCGTGTAATGTTAATTTTTTTAATATTATTTATCATATAAATCATAATCCAAATTGTTAAAATATAGATAAAATTTCACAAGTTAACTTATGATGCTTATGTGTCTTTAGAATTTTATGTTATGTCATGATTCACTTTTTTAAACGTTGATTTTAGAATAATTTGTCCTAATTCAAAATTTTAAATTTAGGAATTCAAATCAATCCAGTTCAAATTTGAATTCAAAACATGAAATCTAGAACTCATTGCCAACCATTATAGAAAACGCGAAATCTTTAGGCGAAATTAAATTTTAGGAGACTCTAATAAATATTTTTACAATTTTACTTGTATATTTAGAGTTTTTCAAGTTTACATTTTGTCAAGTGAGATGGGATGTTAAGGTTTTTGTAAACCTGATCTGATAACTTTGTAATTATAGGTTTCTTTCTATACCTACAACTCCTCAGATCCTAATGGTTTCATCTAAAGCGATGAGTGATCTATGATGTTCGAATATCATATGACTGAACCACTAGAGCTATATGAAATACCAACATTTATAGCATATTATATATTATGTATAAATTGCTCTGTAGAGAAATAATTTATGCACACAATAGTAGAGCAAACTTGTTACCTTATAACTAGAGTTATATCTCGTAAGTTAACGACTGAGATAGTTATTATACGCGAGATAATTATCTACGCCATTGGGGGCGGGAAGGGGTATTCCAATCCTCGCTGCTGTGTATATAAAATCATTCAACATTATGAATGCAATTGCAAGTCCAATCTGTCATGAGGGTGACAGGCTATAGCGGCCGGGTGACCCGTGGGGCCGAGGTTCGCTGCGTGACGGTGTAACTGATGCAGGTCGACTACGTCGCAAGGGAGTGGAAGGCAGAGCAACGAAGGGAAGGGGAGGGAAGAAGAAAGGCAGGGCGGCGTGGCCTCGCGCTTTCAATGCCCGGCCTCAGCATTTGCTTTGACCGCCGACTGTTTATAGCAGGCAACGCTGATTCTAGGGTTCATGGCTACGTCGGACCCCGGCAAATTTCGCCGATGTTTTCGTGCTCATCTGCGCCCAAAGCAGCCATGGCGCTGGCAAGTCGCGAGCTTGTTGCGCTGGTGTGAGTGTCGTGGAGGTCGTCTGCAAGATTGGCACTGCCCTCGTCACAATGGGAGACTCTTCTCTGAACGAAATGATGGAGGAAGTGCGTAAGGCCGTGGACGACACCATGATGCCTGTCCAGCGCTACATCTACTTCACACTTCAGGTCTGCCTCTGTCACCAGCGCATATCGTTGTCGCCATTTTGCCTTTTTTGAGTTCGCAAGCATCGTTCTCAGCTGCAATTGGTGAATGCCTCGAGGTGACAAGATGCCGAGTACAAGCTTCGGGTTTCAGGTCGGGCCCCAGGCCAGGGCTCAGACGCCCAAACAGTCGAGACTGTTGTGATTTTGTTGGTAGTAAGGTGCCACCCGTGGCTGACGCCCAAATCTTATCCAGACAAACATCCCAATTGTTCTGTTTTCCTCAGAGGTCATTTTATGAGTGCGGCCTTAACTGCTTCAACAACAAGAAGGCTTCGCAAAATGAAATTCAGGGTTGTCTGACGAAATGTCAACAGCCCTTGCAAAGAGCGCAAATGGTGGTCGACAACGAATTGACGAGATTTCAAGTAAGAACGACTGGTGCAAACTAGTTATGTGTTCAACTCGTAGACTTCGAATTTTACTCAAAAGGTAGTAGATCTGTGTACGTGTTTTTCTTTTATTTGTCTCTGTTGCCCACTTTGCTTGTGTTGATGTACAGTATTTATTTTCTTATGTCAGTCACAGTACAGTACCCATCGATCAGTACGAACTGCCTTTAGATTGACGTGAGTACCCTACGTAGTACTTTGTGTCTCATTGAAGGCACAAATTTATGCATATTTCTCAGGCCGAAAGGTATGAGGCCTTCCGGTTATGAAACAGGCTACATTATTGTACAAAAGCATGAAATTGGTTGTATGATATGCCTTTAGATTGACGTGAGTACCCTCCGTAGTACTTTGTGTCTCATTGAAGGCACAAATCTATGCGTATTTCGTTGTACCGAAGGGTACGAGGCCTTTCGGTCATGAAGCAGGCTACATTATTGTAAAGTATCACGAGTTTGGCACATTTGTCTCAGATGATACAGATTGGTCATGACAGTAGTTATCATGGATTTACACCTTTCTTTGTAATCTCAGTACACCTGTGCAGCTGGGGAGTTGTGGAAGTGCACCACACTTTCCCTGTTGTAGAATTTTGACATCGTGGAATTGTGGGACAGGAGTGTTGGAATCGTTAACATGTTTCCATCATTTGTCTCACAGATGCGAAAAGTGAACTGTTGATACCAGATCGCAAGAGGAAGCTGTTTGTATACAAGAATTTCCTTCAGTTTCTGGCACGCTGAGAGAGGAAGCCTCATGGATGACCTGAGGGCGAGGACATGTGAGGAACTCAGCATGTAGCTGGAGTTAATTACTCACCATCGTTTCTTTGGATTCTGTTGGATGAAATAGGAACGTTTGGAACGCAGCTTCATGGTTTGTCGCGACAAGGTGGAGTCATACGATGGGATTGCTTCAGATGACGAGACAAAAGTGAGGCAAATGGAGAGTTGTATGGAAGGATCTCTGAGGGAGCATATGAAGGTCCTTCCTCGTCTAGCGAGCAATATCCAGACGCAAATAGCGACGAGTAAATGAAGGCAACCTAGGAGACGTTGGAAACTCTGTGCGGCTGCCGCTCGCTCGTTATGGCAGATTGTTCAGTCTGTGGACCTGGGTCCAAGTTCTTCTCATGCGCACGAGCCTCATTTCCTCCAGCGGTTGGAGACGATAGTTGCATCATCCATAGCAGGTTGATGGTGTCCTTCTATCGCCGACCGAGGAATTGCCTTAGGTCGAGGCAGTTGCCCGCCAATCGCACATCCAAATGTGAAGCAGTCAACTCTGGTGGATTCGAACAGGTGTCTTGGATATTTGTCATTGTATTAACCCGTCTGTACGGTGTCCGAATTCACTCTGCAGTCTAGAAATCCCTTCGATGGGTTCACCAACAGTCTATGGTTGTGAGGGCACAATCGAACTTGACTGTGTAAGGCAAATGGCAAGAGGAGCCTTTATTAGCGGGAATACGCACCGCTGAGGTACAGCTCTCTCGAGAGCGATTAACGACCTCTGGATGTATCAAAAGTCTACATCATTTGGAGAAACTACGCTTGTGTGTCCACGGGCACGAGCCTTCAAACATTGTGTCCAATTGTTGCTAAGCATTATGAGCTCAGTTGTGAAGGGTGGCCAGTATATTTATGAAGCATCTGAAGCGGATGACGGAGTATGTCATGTTTGTCCAGCCTCGAGGATCAACTGGTATATATTTAAGGACTAACCGCAGTTGTAAGAAAGAGCAGGTTTTGTGTAGAAATCTTTGATTGCCGTTCTCTATCAAAGTGATCGTGAGCTTCCAACTAAGTCGAGGCACAGAGGCAGTCAACGTGGGTGTTTTCTTCAGTGAAGTGATTATTTGCTTCAAAGTAACTGAGGCTCAGAGAAATTGTGTAGAGGAGGCTTCCTCTCTATGGCGTTTTGTCTTTCTCATCATCAGAAGCCGTATCCATGTTGTAGTTTAGTCTTCCCCAGGATCGTTACGAGCCACCGATGTGGAGTGCTCTATCGTGTTTATTCAGTCCTCCCCGTATTCAACACTGCGTTGAGAAACACTTGATTCAGTACGGAGAAATGTCCAGGAATGGTCTCGCCCTCTCAACAGCATGGAAGTCGTATGGATAGGAAATTGTCGTCCAAATGTTGATCAGAGGATACTGCAGCGTGTTTTCTCTTGTAGCAAGCGGTTACGCAGGAAAGAGTCATGCATCCCAAGGCAGAAGCACGTGCTGGGGACGTCTCTTGGGCAGTATGAAGAAAAAATTCGCCTTTTTTTAGATATGGCTCTGTTTACATGATATCTCTTAATCCGTGTACACGAATGAGTATGCGAAGTTGGCGCGCTAAATCCAAGTCTGCCAACGAAATAACACAGGGAAGGTGTAGAATGTCTACAGTTGGTCAGTGGAGCGACCTCAGTAATGAAATACACATAGTCAGAAGCTGCTGGGTGCAGGAAAGAAAATTTGAGAAACTTGGCATAACGAGAAATTGAATTGTATAACACGAGATGTAAAGTGTAGTACGGTATGTCTACATAACTTGAGGAACTGTCTCCGTGTGCAGGATCAAGGCACTCTATTAATCTGCAGACTAAAGCCACCCTGAAAGTATGCTCTAATCGTCGAAGGCCAGGGCTATCCATACGACCACTGCACGTGCACGCCGTTACGCACACCGTCTTGCCTCGCTCACCGCAGGCGACGAGAGGCGTTGGTCTGGACTCGACACCAACTTCGCTGTCCACTGGGATTAGTGTTGGGTATAGTGTTGGGAAAGCCAAGCGCTGGCTACTACTCCAGACACTGGACTAGTGGACAGCTCTTGGCTTTCCCACCTTAACACTATTGTTATTTTTTCAAATCCGCCACATTCTCCTTTCAGTCCAATTCGCAGGAGCCCAATTCGGGAGGAACCTTCGCACTTCTAGTTACTTTTAAAGGACGGCTATTTTTTCCATTCTCTTCCACTTGGCAGGACCCGAATTCGGGAAGAAGATCGTAGTGCCACATGCCCACAGCTCGTCTCGGAGGGACATTGTCAGAACGTCGATTTTATTTTCTACTTGATTTTCGTGAAAGCGAGATTGTTTAATTACGTTTATAATGAGATCACCACGCTAAACGTTAATGATATTGGCTGGTATGGGTGAAGTTGTACTTTGCATTGTGCGGTGTGTTCATGCACGTTGCATTTGACGGTCACATCCAAATGTAAAGCACAAATTCATCTATTGTTAGCCTAAATTCGTTCATATTGCAGTTTTACTGCAACAGTGTGGCGAAACAAATTAGTTTTCACACAATGAAATAGATTGTGAAATTGACTCTCTGAAAAGGTTTTTCCAAGAGAAGTTCCGCTTATTGGGTGTCTGGGTGAACTTGCGCGAATTCGTCTTAGAGAAACTTTTCGGAGTGTAAACTTGGCTCCTGCGAGTTGGAAGTAAGAGGAAAGAAGAACTAACAGCAAGAATTTCTTGAAGAACGAGGGTTCGTTTAGAAGACTTGAGAGTAGAGATGGGAAAGTCGAAAGCTTTTCGCTTTCGACTGCTCCATATCCAGACCAACTCCTCTCGTTGACTACGGTGAGCGAGGAGAGACTTGGCAGACCATCGACCCGAACGGTGTTCACATCAAGGGCCTCGGCCGTCAGCAGAGAAGGCATACGGTCTGGGTGGTTTTAGTCTAAAACCTCACTTACAACATACTTAGAGATTCACACTTGACACGATGAAAGTCGAAATATAATTTACTACCTGAAAATTCTCCACGACTATCCAACGAAATTAGCATGTAGATACGCGAACGTTACAGTGAATCAATACTGCGAACCCAATTAAATGACCGATTATCCTGTGAAAGGAGCATGAGGGAAAGAGTGCAATCAATGTTTGAACATGCAACTTCTGTGTTGATGAATGTAATTCGTGGAACATGTAATGTACAAACCACATTATCCTAGTACCGTACAATTTCCAACTTAGTGTAAGCACATCACAACATGGGAAGTGAGAAAACCAAATTGCGAATGAGTTTCCGAGAGACTTTCACATTAGCCGTCTCAACTTCGTTCGTAGCCCTTACCTCAGTCTGAAAATTCTTGAGACTATAATGACGTATCTCCCTCGATTGGTGTGAATTGAGTCGCCAGGAGCCAAAGTATTTGATTGGAAAATCTCGGTGTCGCATAGACAACGAGAAACTTCCTGGGTAACCCTGTAGATATATGAAGTTTTTGATCGACATCAGTACCGCCCACAGTTTGAATAAAACTGTGGGCTGTGATGATGATTCGAGAACTTAGAATAAGATAAGTTTCAAATTTAAAAATATTCATATATATATATATATATATTACATGTAACTTGTTTACAGAAAACATCACACATTCATTGAGATAAAACAAGACTCAAAGTAATTATCGGAAACAAGTTGAGATAAAAAATCAATTACGTTCTTGAGTGCAAAATTTAACTGTTTCATGATGAGGCATATGGGAAAATTCAAAAGGAAAAAACGCCACGTTAATTAAAGTAGATGTTTTGAATGTTGTGTATCATGTTGTAACATGACTATTATCATACTAGTTGTGCACATCATGGTGTGACATGACTATTAGCTCAAGATTACATGACATCATTCCCAGCTCATTACTGCACTGGGAGAAACACACGAAAAGAATGAAATTAGAGCTTGTAGTCAAGCTCTGGATTTTAGTCAAAATCTGACGGCCATGGTCAATGTAACAATTAACTTTCATTATAACTACGTTCATCAAATATCAACCTCGCCCTCAGCAAAGTGCTGAAAACTATAGAATTAAACTTCAGCATCTCCGAAGTCATTGTTTGTTTGTATATTAATTAGAATGATCGATTAGTGATGCAGCAATGCAGCCATTAGCCTCGCATCTTACTGTCTAAGTCCACGGGTTGTGTGAGTTGGTAGTGGAACAATATATTGACGGCTAGTAGAATCAAGTATCTGTTTGAAACACAAACAAGATGGTGATTAAATAAAAGTAAGCTGGGAGCAAAAGATCGGTCAGTGCGAGTATCAGTTCAGCGATAATTCTTGTATATAATATTCCTTCTCCTATTGGTGGAGAAGGATGCATATTACCTCAACTCATGCAGTGAGTATGTTGAGTTGTGTATTTTTTTCTAGTCTAGTATGTAGTAATATAGTAGTCAAGAAATTTTTCATTGTTTTACAAAGATCGATGACAGCATAAAATACATGAGGTAACGACGTATTCTGATATAATAACATTGTATGTACAGTAGTTCAAATATTGCAACTGCTGTAAATAATTCAAATAATACTTCGAGTATCAAAAATTTATCTGATAATAAAATATATGGATTAAAGTTTTGCTATAATGGTGGTTAGATTTTGTATTACAAGTAAAAAATGGAACTGTAACATAAAAAAATTTGGATTTTTATGTCAGCAATAAATCATATTCAGTTAATTAGAAAAAAAGTTAGAATTTTCACAAGATGTAAATAAATGTCGTACAATATTCATGACTTTTATGTCAGCAATTTGTGTTGAAAGTTACAAGAAAAAAATCCTTAGGTTTGTTAATGATATATCTGATTTTATCTATCCACGAGAAGTTTAGCATGGATGGATTAAGATATTATCTATGTATACATTTTGGGAAAATACGTATCAAACATAAATAACTCCAGGTATCTCACTATCAAAGTTTGAGCGTCATCTTTCGTATGATAATTATTAATCTAATTCTGTGTTATAATATTGGTGTGTAAACTAACTTGTACATCAGTCTTTTTCCTTTCATAGAAACATCGCGTTATGACTGAACTAAGTAAAATTTCCAGAATTTTGCAATTATATTTTCATTGAATGTTCAAAGTAGAATGGAGAATCATTTGAATTAGAACAATGTAGGAACGACGTTATGAAAATAATTAGTTATAAAGCTAACGAACGCAGGAGACTGACTTATGGACTGTCCGTCTCGCTCGTTCTCTGACTGCCCGTCCAAAGTATCCGTGTATGTGTTTCATGGGCGTAAATTTGCAGAATTAACCTCAATTAATTAGAACCTTAGAGTCGATGTTCCGGCACTTCATCGCCATTTTCATGTTGTGCAGTTACGTTTTAGGATTTCATTGGAACGTCTTATTTTCACATGAACTTAAAAGTGACCGAAATGATAAATTGTAGATTGTAACAGGTAATCAATTCCACGACCTTTTCGGAACCAATTTGAGTCAAGATCCCAAACATGAGCGGGCTCACACATGCATCGGATGTGTAGATGAACTCTGCTCCCCTGAAGAATACGGTCTTAGAAAGATACATTTACTTACGACATCTCCCTTCACTTGAGAACAACGAGGAGGCTTCATCGAATTTCTTGGTTCCCATCATACTCCGTAACTGTCTTTGGTACAAGGAGTGATACTGATGTCGCGATTATTAGTGTGTTTAGCAACTCGTGTACAGTAACATAAATAAATTACGTATACAAGTGAATTATTCATTTCTTATATAATTGTTTAGTAAACTCTTCTGCAAGTTTTTACCAAATTTTTATTTATCAAAGTTAGAGAATAAAAAATTGCACTGTACTAGGTATTTCTACTCATGCATTCTAATCTCCACTCATAGCTATCCAAAAAACAAAAAATTCATATAAAATATTTTCATGTTTATTATATGCAACCAAAACTTTCTGCATATAACTTGGTGCATGCATGTTAATATTAACTCTTGCAACATCAAACACCACTCAGCAAGTTTAAACACGTGTCAAATAATAAAACTAAAGTGCAAATGTGGGTAACCACATCCAGGAAGCAAAATATCGCAGTCTCCCGACATTGGAAAATAATTCTTGAAGCAGTAATTGATATTTACTGAGAGATCCATGGATCTATCAATCCATTAATCGAGTATGGAACCATGGATCATAGGTTTAATGCGCCCAGAGCATTCTTCCCATCTCCTGTCCCAAATGTCCAAAACAGAGAGACGCCATGTTCATAGATCTCTGAAAGACAGTGATCCGCTTGCCGAGGAACTGCAGGTCTGGCTGTATACAGATCCAAATTCATCTGCTGCCACCTCAGACTTCAACAGCATGCAC